GGGGCGCAGCCGCAGGTGACAATAGCGCTCGGATTTGGGGCTCACGCCGCCTTCCAGGGTTGTCTGCCGTACCCAGACGTACATACGTTCCTGTGCGAAACGTATATAAACAGGCGTGTGCGTGTACCGGAGAGATAGATATATGGGATTTGATTTATATATAATGGCACGTATAAAGCTTTTTTAAGGTGGCTGCAATGTAAAAAGTAATGACTTTATTACCCCTGAAAGGTTCTGTGGTTCACAGTTAACAGTCCTCTGAATTACAATTCATTACGCAGTTGTGCACTCTCTGAAGCCAACCTGCATCAGAATACCTATCTGTGGTTATTCCCGATAAATAACAGGCAACATTTCATTGATTTTCTTTAAAAAATCATAGCAAATTAAGCACTTAGTTACAACTAAATCTGTTTTATTGTCGTACCGTCTTTGAGATTCCAGAGGTGACTTCCCAGACCGCATCTTAAAACCTACAGTCAGGAGCTAATTTTACAGATGCTTTCATGAATGGCAGGGAGGATGTTCCTACCATTAGCATGCCCTTAATTCCAGCACCGTAAAATGCCTCGAATTAAATGGAAACTCGCTGCCTTAAAAACAGTATTTCATCCTGGCTGGATAATTATTAATGTTAGCATTTGATCGCAATAGTGCTGTGCTCCCCCCGTCTCCCCCACCACCCCAGCGCTTCGCATTGTCATGTGATTGGAGGCAGATAACAAACCTCAAGAAAGAAAAGGAGTCAGAAGACATTTTTAACACGCCATAACCGCAGATTAATAATGCAGGTGGGTTTGTATTTTATTGTATTTTTAGGGGAAGGGAACGAGGCTGTTTAACGAGCAGTCGTGGACACAAAGTAACTATATTTACAATCCTTGATGTGGCTTTCGGTGGGTAATAAATTATGACAATATTAAAATTATTTTCTGGCAGCCCAGTTAACTGCGTTGGGGACTGTAAAGCCCTTACTGATTCCATTTATGCCTTGTAATTACGGTCCACGGGCTCTCTCTAAACCCTTTGGTGTATATTGTGTGTAAACTTTTAGCTAATAGACCTTTTTTGAATGGAGGGACTTTTCTCGGTACTTCCTGCAGTATATATTCTGTCTCTGATCTCTGTATTTAATGGCCAAGTCCTGGTTTATGCTTTATAACGTGTTGACAAGTTTTCTAACAGACTTTCTGAAATAATGCACATATATTCACGTCGGTTAGAAACTCCACAGTATTTTTAGAGTCGAGTAGATCTATATCCTAATGCACTGAGAGGGAGTGTAAATCATAGAGGATTTCATAGCCCTTTCAGTAGTTTTCTGTATGAAGTATGAGCAGCGTGGCCTCCAGACGTAACCTTTTAGAAAAAAAGACAGTGCTTTTATTTTATGGTGTAAAGTGCTTTTAGCTTCAGGGCTCTGAACGTGAATGTGGTCAACAAACAGCTCTTGCGAGGGAGTTTGCTACAGCCTCAGCCCCAGCGCCGGGGCGCTGCCTTCGTGATGGGGAGAGTTACGGGGCCACCTCCAGCCGCAGGACCGGGCTAACC